ATCTGAAAGAATCTGAGAGAATTTACGATTCTTTCTGATTCTCTCTTTTGAATGTTTCCGATTTTTTTGAATTTTTTCAGATTCCTTCGAACTTTTCAGCTTCTTTCAAAGATACCATCAGAAATCCTCAAGATTTTTAAAAATGTTTCACTTCTGTTCAGATTGTGCAGATTCTTCCAGATTTTTTATTTTTTTTTCAAAGAAATGGAAACAATCCGGAAGTATCGGAAAAAATTCAAAAAAATCGAAAACATCTGAAAGAGAGAATAAAAAAGAAAATGAAACAACCTGAAAGCATTTGAAAGAATCTGGAAGAATTTGTGGGAATCTGAGTTTACCTGTGGGAATCTGAGAGAATCTCAAAGAATCTAGAAACATCTGGAAGAACTTAGAAGAGTCTGCAGGGATCTGAAAGTATTTGTAAGGTTCTAAAACGATTTGAATAGAACTGGAAAAAATTCTAAACAAGGTGGAACAATCTGACAGCATCCAAAAGTATCCAGAATAATTCGAAGGAATCCAAAGGATTCCGAAAGGAAGAATCTTTAAAAAAAAGGAAAGAATCTGAAAACACCTGAAAGAATCTTGACGATTCTTTCTGATTCTCTCTCTCTCGAATTTTTCCGATTTTTTCGATTTTTTTCAGATTCCTTCGAACTTTTCAAATTCTATCAAAAATACCATCAGAAATCCTCAAGATTCTTTAAAATTTTTCACTTCTGTTCAGATTGTGGAGATTCTTCCAAATTTTTCTAGATTGTTTTAGATTTTGCTAGATTCCCTGGAGGAATCAGAGGGAATCCGAAGAACCTTGAAAAATCTAGAAGAATTAAAAAAAAAACTAGAACAATCTGGAAAAATTTGGAAGAATCTGCAGGGATCTGAAAGGGTCTGAAACGATCTGAAAAATTTGAAAGAATCTTGAGGATTCCTGATGGCGTCTTTAAAAGAATCTTAAACATTTTCAAAGAAATGGAAACAATCCGGAAGCATCAGAAAAAATACAAAAAAATCGAAAAAATCTGACAGAGAATCAAAAAGAAAATGAAAGAACCTGAAAGCATTTGAAAGACTCTGGAAGAATTTGTGGGAATCTGAGTTTACCTGTGGGAATCTGAGAGAATCTCAAAGAATTTAGAAAAATCTGGAAGAACTTAAAAGAGTTCGCAGGGATCTGAAAGTAAGGTTCTAAAACGATCTGAATAGCACTGGAAAAAATTCGAAAGAATGTGAAACAATCTGACAGCATTCAAAAGCATCCGGAATAATTCGAAGGAATCCAAAGGAATCCGAAAGGAAGAATCTTTAAAAAAAGGAAAGAATCTGAAAGCACTTGAAAGAATCTTGATGATTCTTTCTGATTCTCTCTTTCGAATTTTTCCGATTTATTCGAATTTTTTCAGATTCCTTCGAACTTTTCAGATTCTTTCAAAGATACCATCAGAAATCCTCAAGATTCTTTAAAATTTTTCACTTCTGTTCAGATTGTGCAGATTCTTCCAAATTTTTCTAGATTCTTTTAGATTTTGCTAGAATCCCTGGAGGAATCTGAGGGAATCTCGAAGAACCTCGAAAAATGTAGAAGAATTTAAAAAAAACTGGAACAATCTGGAAGAATTTGGAACAATCTGCAGGGATCTGAAAGGGTCTGAAACGATCTGTATAGAACTGAAAAATTTGAAAGAATCTTGAGGATTCCTCACGGTGTACTTTGAAAGAAACTTAAAAAATAAAAAAAAATCCAAAAAATATGAAAGAGAGAATCAAAAAGAAAATGAAAGAATCTGAAAGCATTTGAAAGAGTCTAGAGGAATCTGAGTTTACTTGTGGAAATCTGAGAGAATCTCAAAGAATCTAGAAAAATCTGGAAGAACTTTGAAGAGTCTGCAGGGATCTGAAAATATTTGTAAGGTTCTAAAACGATCTGAATAGAACTGGAAAAAATTCGAAAGAATGTGGAACAATCTGACAGCATTCAAAAGCATCCGGAATAATTCGAAGGAATCCAAAGGAATCCGAAAGGAAGAATCTTTAAAAAAAAGGGAAGAATCTGAAAACATTTGAAAGAATCTTGATGATTCTTTCTGATTCTCTCTTTCGAATTTTTCCGATTTATTCGAATTTTTTCAGATTCCTTCGAACTTTTCAGATTCTTTCAAAGATACCATCAGAAATCCTCAAGATTCTTTAAAATTTTCCACTTCTGTTCAGATTGTGCAGATTCTTCTAGATTTTTCTAGATTCTTTTAGATTTTGCTAGATTCCCTGGAGGAATCTGAGGGAATCTCGAAGAACCTCGAAAAATGTAGAAGAATTTAAAAAAAACTGGAACAATCTGGAAGAATTTGGAACAGTCAGCAGGGATCTGAAAGGGTCTGAAACGATCTGTATAGAACTGAAAAATTTGAAAGAATCTTGAGGATTCCTCACGGTGTACTTTTAAAGAAACTTAAAAAATAAAAAAAAATCCAAAAAATATGAAAGAGAGAATCAAAAAGAAAATGAAAGAATCTGAAAGCATTTGAAAGAGTCTAGAGGAATCTGAGTTTACTTGTGGAAATCTGAGAGAATCTCAAAGAATCTAGAAAAATCTGGAAGAACTTTGAAGAGTCTGCAAGGATCTGAATGCTTTTGTAAGGTTCTAGAACGATCTGAATAGAACTGGAAAAAATTCGAAAGAATGTGGAACAATCTGACAGCATTCAAAAGCAATCTTGATGATTCTTTCTGATTCTCTCTTTCGAATTTTTCCGATTTATTCTAATTTTTCCAGATTCCTTCGAACTTTTCAGATTCTTTCAAAGATACCATCAGAAATCCTCAAGATTCTTTAAAATTTTCCACTTCTGTTCAGATTGTGGAGATTCTTCCAAATTTTTCTAGATTCTTTTAGATTTTGCTAGATTCCCTGGAGGAATCAGAGGGAATCTCGAAGAACCTCGAAAAATCTAGAAGAATTAAAAAAAAAACTGGAACAATCTGGAAAAATTTGGAAGAATCTGCAGGGATCTGAAAGGGTCTGAAACGATGTGAAAAATTTGAAAGAATCTTGAGGATTCCTGACGGCGTCTTTGAAAGAATCTTAAAAACTTAAGAAATGGAAACAATCCGGAAGCATCGGATAAAATACAAAAAAATCGAAAAAATCTGAAAGAGAGAATGAAAAAGAAAATGAAAGAACCTGAAAGCATTTGAAAGAATCCCAGAAAAATCTGGAAGAACTTAGAAGTCTGCAGGGATCTGAAAGTATTTGTAAGGTTCTAAAACGATCTGAATAGAACTGGAAAAAATTCGAAAGAATGTAGAACAATCTGACAACATCCAAAAGCATCCGGAATAATTCGAAGGAATCCAAAGGAATCCGGAAGGAAGAATCTTTAAAAAAAGGAAGGAATTCTTTCTGATTCAACTCTTTCGAATTTTTCGGTCTTTGTTCGAATTTTTTCAAATTCCTTCGAACTTTTCAGATTCTTTCAGAGACACCATCAGAAATATTCAAAATTTTTTAAAAATTTTCAGTTCTGTTCAGATTGTTTCAGATCCTTACAAATCCTTTCAGATTCCTACAGATTCTTGCAGATTTTCTAGATTCTTTTAGGTTTTGCTAGATTCTTCGAGATTCTCTCACATTCCCTGGAGGAATCTGAGGGAATCTGAAAGAATCTCGAAAAATCTAGAAGAATCTAAAAAAAAAACTGGAAACATCTGGAAGAATTTGGAGGAATATGCAAGGATCTGAAAGAGTCTGAAACGATCTGTATTGAAATGAAAAATTTGAAAGAATCTTAAGGGTTCCTCACGGTGTCTTTGAAAGAAACTTAAAAAATAAAAAAAATCCAAAAAATCTGAAAGAGAGAATCAAAATTAAAATGAAAGAATCTGAAAGCGTTTGAAAGAATCTGGAGGAATCTGAGTTTTCCTGTGGAAATCTGAGATAATCTCAAAGAATCTAGAAAAATCTGGACGAATTTGGGAAAGTCTGCAGGGATCTGAAGTACGGTTTTAAAACGACCTCAATAGAACTCAAAAATTTGAAAGAATCGTGAGGAGAGAATCGGAAAGAAAATGAAAGAATCTGGAGAAATTTGAAGGAATCTGGGAGAAATTGGGAGATTCGAAAAGAATCTGAGAGAATTTGAAAGAATCTGAGGCAATCTAAGAGAAATTGGGAAATTCGGAAAGAATATGTGAGAATCTGAGAGAATCTCGAAGAATCTAAAAAAATCTGGAAGAACTTAGAAGACTGCAGGGAAATGAAAGAATCGGGAGAAATTTGAAGGGATCTGGGAGAAATTGGGAGATTCGAAAAGTGGTTCGAATGTGACACCCTGTATGTTATTCGTAATAATCGAGATAAACTATCAGAATAAGAGAATGACGTTGAACTCTAACCTTACTCTCGCAGTACGGGTCTTTGTCGCTTGAAATTACACGAAACTCCAATTACTTGTGCAAAGGGTAAATACACAAATTATACGGATCGTATTTTCGTAAAATATTGAGCTAAACAGTATTCATATTCATGAAAACGTAAAGCGTTAGTTAATTTTGTAGCTTTTAATCAACCGAATGTTCGTGACAGTTGTACGAACTGTGGATTTATTACACTTTTAGCGACTTCAATTATTGGCTGAAAGCTTAAAACCTTGCTACAGGTACGAAAAAATAAGCTTTCCACTCAGGCCACATTCGCAAAAAGAAAGTCGCGTCGACCTCCGACATAAATAAACGATGAAAATGCATATATTATTCGCATACACGGTAGGTGATTTAGCAAAACTTTTACCCAGAAATATTTATGAATAATTAGTCGTAGAATAATCGCGAATGAAACGATTTAGCCGCGTCTTTCAACTGGTGCTAAAAATGAAAGTTAGTTGTGCAACCACTACCGATAAATTTTTTTCCAAACGTCGATGTTAGCGTCCTTAAAAGCCACTGGTTGCGTTTTCAACTCCGCTAAAATAGCGTAATAATTGGCAACAAGAATGAGACAGATGTAATGAAAACATTATCCACAGACTCGTTAAGTGGTGCGGCCAATGTTCTCTTTAATTAAACGATAACTCAACTAATTTAACAACATCAATATAGCAATCATACTAAATTTAAATGGTTCGCATGATAAACTCAATTTGAAATTGCCTTGCATCCTTCCAGCAAACGCTCTTTTCATCTGGTCGGCGTTATCGTGTCCGGCCGGACTCACCTGCAACAAAACAAACGCGAGTAAATCTCTGGAATCACGTCGCAGCTGATGAATTATGTAAAAGTCAAAAGGAAACATTTTCTGCGAATACACAAACCATGCATGTCGTCGGAGAGGCTATTAATAAATTATTTATAAACAAATGGAAAGTGTGGAAGAAATAAGATTCAAACTGTGATGTCAATCTTTGTACGCCGGGTTACGTAACAGCCGAGAGATGAGGATTGTTGAATTCGTGACAAAGAGAGCTATCTCGAGGTAACATTACGAATGTTTAAACATTGGTGAACGATAAAAATAGCGTATATCTTATACGAAGGTCAATAAACATATTTTTTACTGCATTGCGGTCTATTTATAATTATAATACAATAAGGCGAATGGAATTAGAAGAATGAATCAGGATATAAATGGCATTTTTTTTTATACGAGTTATGCTAAAATGATTGAGTAACGGCCATAAAGTAGCTAATAAAACGGCACTGAAAAACTTAATGATTGTTAGAATGACTTTGATTTAATTGATTTTCAATTTTTATAGGCGCTGCACTGATAACTCGGTTGCAGCTGAGTACCGCATTCTACACTCCACTTACAAAAATTAACAGAGTAAGTGCTGTTTCGAAACTCAACGACCACACTATTTCTGTGTTTGCTTTGGTGTTTATCACCCAATAAAATAATTCCCCTTTCGGGTCAACTTTTTGCTTTTATCAATCCATTAATTTAATGGAGAAAATGTTAGCAGATGAAATTTTCTATTAAACTATAGCTGCAATCCAACTACTAGTTCAAAGCTTCATCAATAATGTCGATGTTCGAGTAAATACCGCAATAAATTCAAACATGCATGATTATAGTGAACTATAGTGCCCGGATTGATTAGCATTCTATTTGAACATGAATTCGAGGCACTATTACTTAAATTAAAAACGGGGGCGAATTTCGCATATTTAATGGATTAACAACAGCACTGATTGCATAATTAACAACTTTTGTTGATTAGGGATTCATAAATAATATTGATAAATGTGGACAAACATGTTCCCAATTTTATGATACAATTCTGTACAGTTTATTTGCCCCGCCCACCCACCCTCTCTTCTGTTAGAGGGGATCTCATTTGCCAAAATCAGTCTTATTTAGGCAGGCACTAGCCCCGCCCACCCGCCCTCTCGTTTCTTAGAGGATATTTCATTTGCCAAAGTTAGTTTTATCATGACAACTACTACCCCCGCCCACCCACCCTCTCTTTTCTCAGAGTCATTGCCATTCCCTAGCCCCTAAAGGACAGTCGAACAAATACAACTTGGAAAAATTATTTATTATCATCTTTAACTTTAAGAATTCTTTTTTTTTCGCATCTTTACAGTCAAAAATGTTTCGAATTTTAAGAATTGAGTAAATTTTTGAAATTTCCGGTAGTTCTAGATTTTCTAAATGTTTTTCAGACTTTTCACAGTTTCTAGATATTTCCACATTTTCTAAAATTAATAGACCCCAAGAGTCTTTCAATCTTTGAAATTTTCGGAGTCTCTGGAATCTTTAAAATTTTTGTCATGTTAAGAGTTCATGCGTTTTTTACAAATTATAGAATCTTTGAAATATTTGGAACAGAATTTTAAAAACCCTTTTAACGTTTGAGTCCTTGGAGTATTTAGAATCTGTAGAGTTTTCAGAGTCCTTAGAGTTTTAACAATCTTTGGAAATTTTGGATACTTCAGAATTACTGGAAATTTTAGGATTTTTATAATTTCTAGGATGTTCAGATTTTCCAGATTAGCCCAATTTTTCAATTTTTTCGGGGACACTAAATGACTAGAATTTCCACATTTTCCAAAATGTCTAAAATTATCAGGCTCAAGTTATACCACAATTTTGAAATTCAACCTTTTCCAATATTTTAAAGATTTCTAAGTCTACTACATTTTTCCTACAATTTCTAATTTTTTTTAAAGATTTTCTAAAATTTATATATCTCAAAAGTCTAAATGTTTGGAATTTTTGAAATCTTTGGAATTTTTACAGTTTCCAAGATTTATAAGATAATACTTAATTAGGGTCTTCAAGCCCTTCAGTGCTTTTGGCTTTGCCATTTTAAGAGGTCACGCGATTTTTACAAGTTTTAGAATCTTTGATTTTTGGAATTTCTCTAGAACCTTCAGAATCTTTCAACTATTCGTAACGTAATTTTAGCCTTTGACCCTTTAAAGTCCTTAGAATCTTTAGAGCCTTACCAACCTATGGATATTTTGAACACCTTGGGAATTACTAGGAGTTCTATAAAGCCTAAAATTTCTGCAATTTCTAGGATCATTAGTACCCAAGTCCTTTATAATTTTTAAGCTTTTATTCGATCTTTAGAATCTTTGGTTTTTTGGAATTTCTCTAGAACCTTCAGAGTCCTTCAAGTATTCGAAACGTAATTTTAGCCTTTGACCCCTTAGAGTCTTTAGAATCTTTAGAGCCTTACCAACCTATGGAAATTTTGAACACCTTGGGAATTACTAGGAGTTCTATAAAGCCTAAAATTTCTGTAATTTCTAGGATCATTAGTACCCAAGTCCTTTATAATTTTTAAGATTTTGTTCGATCTTTAGAATCTTTGGTTTTTTGGAATTTCTCTAGAACCTTCAGAATCTTTCAACTATTCGTAACGTAATTTTAGCCTTTGACCCTTTAGAGTCCTTAGAATCTTTAGAGCCTTACCAACCTATGGAAATTTTGAACACCTTGGTAATTACTAGGAGTTCTATAAAGCCTAAAATTTCTGTAATTTCTAGGATCATTAGTACCCAGGTTCTTTATTATTTTTAAGATTTTGTTCGATCTTTAGAATCTTTGGTTTTTTGGAATTTCTCTAAAACCTTCAGAATCTTTCAACTATTCGTAACGTAATTTTAGCCTTTGACCCTTTAGAGTCCTTAGAATCTTTAAAGCCTTACCAACCTATGGAAATTTTGAACACCTTGGGAATTACTAGGAGGTCTATTATAAAGCGTAAAATTTCTGTAATTTCTAGGATCATTAGTACCCAAGTCCTTTATCATTTTTAAGATTTTGTTCGATCTTTAGAATCTTTGGTTTTTTGGAATTTCTCTAGAACCTTCAGAATCTTTCAACTATTCGTAACGTAATTTTAGCCTTTGACCCTTTAGAGTCCTTAGAATCTTTAGAGCCTTACCAACCTATGGAAATTTTGAACACCTTGGTAATTACTAGGAGTTCTATAAAGCCTAAAATTTCTGCAATTTCTAGGATCATTAGTACCCAAGTCCTTTATAATTTTTAAGCTTTTGTTCGATCTTTAGAATCTTTGGTTTTTTGGAATTTCTCTAGAACCTTCAGAATCTTTCAATTATTCGAAACGTAATTTTAGCCTTTGACCCTTTAGAGTCCTTAGAATCTTTAGTGTCCTACCAACCTATGGAAATTTTGAACACCTTGGGAATTACTAGGAGTTCTATAAAGCCTAAAATTTCTGTAATTTCTAGGATCATTAGTACCCAAGTCCTTTATAATTTTTAAGATTTTGTTGGATCTTTAGAATCTTTGATTTTTTGGAATTTCTCTAGAACCTTCAGAATCTTTCAACTATTCGAAACGTTATTTTAGCCTTTGACCCTTTAGAGTCCTTAGAATCTTTAGAGTCCTACCAACCTATGGAAATTTTGAACACCTTGGGAATTACTAGGAGTTCTATAAAGCCTAAAATTTCTGCAATTTCTAGGATCATTAGTACTCAAGTCCTTTATAATTTTTAAGATTTTGTTCGATCTTTAGAATCTTTGGTTTTTTGGAATTTCTCTAGAACCTTCAGAATCTTTCAACTATTCCAAACGTAATTTTAGCTTTTGACCCCTTAGAGTCCTTAGAATCTTTAGAGCCTTACCAACCTATGGAAATTTTGAACACCTTGGGAATTACTAGGAGTTCTATAAAGCCTAAAATTTCTGTAATATCTAGGATCATTAGTACCCAAGTCCTTTATAATTTTTAAGCTTTTGTTCGATCTTTAGAATCTTTGGTTTTTTGGAATTTCTGTAGAACCTTCAGAATCTTTCAAGTATTCGAAACGTAATTTTAGGCTTTGATCCCTTAGAGTCCTTAGAATCTTTAGAGCGTTACCAACCTATGGAAATTTTGAACACCTTGGGAATTACTAGGAGTTCTATAAAGCCTAAAATTTCTGTAATTTCTAGGATCATTAGTACCCAAGTCCTTCATAATTTTTAAGATTTTGTTCGATCTTTAGAATCTTTGGTTTTTTTGGAATTTCTCTAGAACCTTCAGAATCTTTCAACTATTCGTAACGTAATTTTAGCCTTTGACCCTTTAGAGTCCATAGAATCTTTAGAACGTTACCAACCTATGGAAATTTTGAACACCTTGGGAATTACTAGGAGTTCTATAAAGCCTAAAATTTCTGTAATTTCTAGGATCATTAGTACCCAAGTTCTTTATAATTTATAAGATTTTGTTGGATCTTAAGAATCTTTGATTTTTGGAATTTCTCTAGAACCTTCAGAGTCTTTCAACTATTCGTAACGTAATTTTAGCCTTTGACCTTTTAGAGTCCTTAGAATCTTTAGAGCCTTACCAACCTATGGAAATTTTGAACACCTTGGGAATTACTAGGAGTTCTATAAAGCCTAAAATTTCTGTAATTTCTAAGATCATTAGTACCCAAGTCCTTTATAATTTTTAAGCTTTTGTTCGATCTTTAGAATCTTTGGTTTTTTGGAATTTCTCTAGAACCTTCAGAATCTTTCAACTATTCGTAACGTAATTTTAGCCTTTGACCCTTTAGAGTCCTTAGAATCTTTAGAGCCTTACCAACCTATGGAAATTGTGAACACCTTGGGAATTACTAGGAGTTCTATAAAGCCTAAAATTTCTGTAATTTCTAGGATCATTAGTACCCAAGTTCTTTATAATTTATAAGATTTTGTTGAATCTTTAGAATCTTTGGTTTTTTGGAATTTCTCTAGTACCTTCAGAATCTTTCAAGTATTCGAAACGTAATTTTAGCCTTTGACCCTTTAGAGTCCTTAGAATCTTTAGAGCCTTACCAACCTATGGAAATTTTGAACACCTTGGGCATTACTAGGAGTTCTATAAAGCCTAAGATTTCTGCAATTTCTAGTATTATTAGTACCCAAGTTCTTTATAATTTATAAGATTTTGTTGGATCTTTAGAATCATTGGTTTTTTGGAATTTCTCTAGAACCTTCAGAATCTTTCAACTATTCGTAACGTAATTTTAGCCTTTGACCCTTTCGAGTCCATTGAATCTTTAAAGCGTTACCAACCTATGGAAATTTTGAACACCTTGGGAATTACTAGGAGTTCTATAAAGCCTAAAATTTCTGTAATTTCTAGGATCATTAGCACAAAAGTTCTTTATAATTTTTAAGACTTTGTTGGATCTTTAGAATCTTTGGTTTTTTGGAATTTCTCTAGAACCTTCAGAATCTTTCAACTATTCGTAACGTAATTTTAGTCTTTGACGCTTTAGAGTCCATAGAATCTTTAGAGCGTTACCAACCTATGGAAATTTTGAACACCTTGGGAATTACTAGGAGTTCTATAAAGCCTAAAATTTCTGTAATTTCTAGGATCATTAGTACCCAAGTCCTTCATAATTTTTAAGATTTTGTTCGATCTTTAGAATCTTTGGTTTTTTGGAATTTCTCTAGAACCTTCAGAGTCCTTCAAGTATTTGAAACGTAATTTTAGCCTTTGACCCTTTAGAGTCCTTTGAATCTTTAGACCCTTACCAACCTATGGAAATTTTGAACACCTTGGGAATTACTAGGAGTTCTATAAAGCCTAAAATTTCTGTAATTTCTAGGATCATTAGTACCCAAGTCCCTTATAATTTTTAAGACTTTGTTGGATCTTTAGAATCTTTGGTTTTTTTGGAATTTCTCTAGAATCTTTAGAATCTCTGAGATGTATAAGATAATAATTAGGGTTGTTCAAGATCCCTAATACTTGTAGGATTTATAAAAATTGTCAGATTTTTACGATTTTACATTTTTAGGATTTTTGTTTTGTTTAGAGTCTCTGGAATTTTTAAAATTTTTGTCATGTTAAGAGTTCATGCGTTTTTTACAAATTATAGAATCTTCGAAATATTTAGAACAGAATTTTAAAAATCTTTTTAACGTTTGAGTCCTTAGAGTATTTAGACAGAGTCTTTAGAGTTTTCCGAGTCCTTAGAGTCCTAACATCTTTGGAAATTTTGGATACAAATTTTATAAAGTTTAGAATTTTTATAATTTCTAGGATGTTCAAATTTTTTCGATTAGCTCAATTTTTCAGTTTTTCCGAAGGAGTAAATGATCAGAATTTGCACATTTTCCAAAATTTCTAAAATTATCAGGCTCAAGTTATACCAGAATTTTGAAATTCAACCTTTTCCAACATTTTCAAGATTAAATCTTTGGAATTTTTCGAATCTTTACTGTCTCCAAGATTTATAAGATATTAATTTATTACAAGTTTTAGAATCTTTGGTTTTTTGGAATTTCTCTGGAACCTTTAGAACCTTTCAAGTATTCGAAATGAAATTTTAGCTTTTGACCCCTTAGAGTCCTTAGAATCTTTGGAGCCTCACAAATCGATGAAAATTTTGGGAATTACGAGGAGTTTAATAAAGCCTAAAATTTCTCCAATTTCTAGGATCATTAGTACCCCCAAGTCCTTTATAATTTTTAGGGTTTTGTTGGATCTTTTTTATATTTAGAACAGGCTCTAGTTGTACCAGAATTTTGGAATTCCACCTTTTCCAATATTTTAAAGATCTCCAGGTCTGCCACAATGTTCCCACACTTCCTAAATTTTTTCAGATAGTCTAAAACTTATAGATCTGAAGGGTCTAAATCTTTGGAAGTTTTTGAATCTCTGGAATCTTTAAACTATAGAAGATTTATAAAATAATACTTAATTACGGTGTTGAAGGCCTTCAGTGCTTTCAGGATTTATAAAAATTAAAGTAAGCATTTCTGTTTTTTTTAAGTCTTTGGATTTTTTAAAATCTTGGCTTTTTGGAATTTCTCTAGAACCTTTAGAATCTTTAGTCTTTCCAATCTATGGAAATTTTAAACACTTTGGGAATTATTAGGAGTTTTATCAAAACTAAAATTTCTGCAGTTTCTAAGATCATTAGTACCCCCAGATTTTTAAAAATTTTCAAGATTTTGTTGGACCTTTTTTATATTTAGATCGTCAATTTATTTAGAATCTTAAGTGTCTTTACAATTCGTAATTTCTAGTGTATGTAATCCGTGAACGCTTTTATACTTTTTGAATCTTTCAAATCACTGGAGACTTTGGAATCTTTAGAATCTTTTGAATCTAGAATCACTAGAATTTCTATAATCTTTAGAGATTTCAGATTTTCATTATTTTAGAGACTCCAGTATCTCTGGAATTTTAAATATTTTTAGATCTTTAGGATCTTTATCATCTCTCCAATTTTTAACTATTTGGAATTCCTGCTTAAATGGCCGGCTTCTCCAGATTTTTTAAATTTTTTGAAATTCCTAAGACCCATTTTTTCGTATTCTAGGGGTCATGAAAGGTCAATTTTTGAGAAAACGGGTAAGTCGTTCCCGATTTAATCAATAAAATAAATTGACTCATTCATTAATTTTTATGAGTCACCCTGTATAAGAAATTTAAAAACGTTTGATGCAATGATAAGTTATAAGTAAAGACTCATCATATTTTGGATAGGATTTAATCGGCAAAACGAATAAATTTTGCGTAACGATTTATCATGATTGCGATAATCTTAAAATATTTACTAGAATTCACACACCACATTATTTATTGTATGTAGGAGTTTATTTTTAGTTTATTTGGTTTCTGTAATTGGGATTTCTTCCTGTTGAAATCAACAAATATGATTATTTTAATTACAAATCAATTATTGAAAATTACAAACAAATATTATACTTAAACAAATTGACACCTGTAACTTCAAGTTGATAGTGTTTTTGAACAACCTCTTATTGGAATCAGTGTTTACCTTCCACTCCAAAAAACAATTATATTTACAATACACGATAAAGTGAAAAAGCAAAAACCAGTCTAGACGCAAAGCCATTTCACACAATGTTTTAATGAAACATAATACCCTATAATTTAGTAATTGTTGAAAAGTATTTAGTCCGTCACGATACCGAAACAAAGCAGGAATAACGACAGATCGCTTCGATTTTTCGGCAAAGTTGTGTAGCAGGATTTAGGTTTGATTGAGAATTTCGGCTTGTCAACCGATGAATTAAAACTTTGGGAAGCCAGTCCCCATTAACTTGCACAAAGCTCTTTGCTACTTCGCGTCGGATTAACAATTCACGCATAAAACCAGTTTATTCTCCTTATTCTAAAACAGGTAAAATAAATTTTGATGAAGACGGTCAGCTTGCGCCAAGCGCCGTTATGAAGCTCTAAATTTTAATTAATACGTGGTGTTATTTACGTGATGTTCCTAAACAAGAGAAGTGTTGTGCATTAAGGGCATAAATTACCGTTATTAAGCATATTAATAAAACTTACGTTAAAGTCTGATTAACGTTTAAGCAGGTGTTTTCTTTTTAGATGAAGCACAAACTTGTGGTTACTTTGTTCCAGCAGAGCTTTACGAAGTAAATTTCATATTCGTGTTCAAACTCCGAACTATCACAAACAGAAGATGCGATATTGATTTGCTTTCACTTACATGAGGACGTTGTGCTCGAGTTAAACGGATGCATTTTTGGTCACGTGTCTTCAAAAATAACGTTCTTAGTATAATCGAATTAAGCCTTCGTGCTAACCGCACGCTTGGCGTCGATCAAACAAACCGATTGACCAGCAGACAAAAATGCCAGTTATAATTGCTCGAAAGTTGCACAAGTACGTGTACTGAATGCTTATCCCCGGCTTAACTGTTCAGAATTACTTAATTGCTGGTTAATTAACCTCAGCCAGCTTCCCTCCGTAAATTGTAAATAGTGTCGTGGAATTACGAAGCATCTCTCCAACAATAAACAAGGTCTGCTCCTATTATTCGAAAATTATTTTCATTCTTTTTGTAAACAACGATTTATCTGGGTGTTATAAAGTAGTAAACAGGTTCCGCGATGTTTAACCGCGAATGATGCAACGAAGTAGCTTTAAAATTAGCTCTTAACTCGGATAAATAGGTTAGTAAATAACACACCTGGTCTAATTTCTAGGAATCCGGCGAATAGTCCGTCGTTGGTTGGTTTATGGCGGAGTTTACGTGATGGACGCGGCGCTTGTTTGCTTTAGTATAACAGTAGTTCTTTTCCGAATTATGGAGATCCGACTACTCCAGATCTAGGATTTCGGTTTATTATTTACGACGTCACGTCGCGGCCGCTCGCTTTCCTCTCATGTATCATAATTTTTGCCACTGAGAACGGCCGGTCGACCTTTGGATCGGTGCCATTTTTTATTTGACATTGTCTGGAAGTTTTGCTTGGGTGAAAATGCAGCCAGCTAGCAGCGTTAATGGGATCCGAGCGATTCTTTAACTTCTAATACGAGATAACAATGGGATATGATATGCGGTTTCTGTGTTGATGGGAGAAATTGTTCAATGAGATAAATGGCTGCGGGTTCAAGTTAGGTTAGTAAACTTGAAGGCTTCGCCGGGATTTTATTCAAATTCAATTTTTAAGTACGAGTGCGAGTGAACAACCGCGGATTGATACACGATTTTGGTGACGGGTGAATGCTTCGGTAAATAAAAACAATGCGTGGCACGCATTTGATGGATGGGAGAATTCGGACCATATTTAGTATAAATAATAGGTTAGTTTGTTTTGATAGTGTTAGCGTTGTTTTTGAAATAGGAGGCGAAAATTCTGCACAAAATGGCAAACGGCCTCAAAAATCTTACAAATTCTTAAACTGGCGATTATTTCACATTCTTAAAAAACATACACATCCAACATTCTTTAGAAAAAACCATACGGAACCCCGAGATTCTTTTACTTTATTCAAATCCTATACGTGGAACCCCCGACATTCTTTCACCTTTTTAAAAATCATACTCATGGAACCCCCGAGATGCTGTTACCTTCTTAAAAATCATACACATGGGACCCTCGAGATTCTTTCACATTCTTAAAAATTCTTCACGTGGAATCTCCGAGACCCTTTTAACTTATTAAAAATCCTGCACGTGAAACCTCCGAGATTCTATCATCCTTTTAAAAATCATACACATGGAACCCCCGAGATTCTTTTAACTTCTTCAAATTCTACACATGGAATCCCCGAGATTCTTTCACCTTCTTAAAAATCATATACATGGGACGCCTGAGATTCCTTCACCTTTTTAAAAATCATACATATGGAACCACCGAGATTTTTTAACTTCTTCAAATTCTACACGTGGAACCCCCGAGAGTCTTTTAACTTCTTCAAATTCTACAGGTGGAACCCCCGAGATTCTCTTAACTTCTTAAAAAAATCGTGCACGAGGAACCCCTGAGATTTTTTTACCATTTTAAAAATCATACACATGGAACCCCCGAGATTCTTTCACATTTATAAAAGTCCGACACGTGGAAAGCTCGAGATTCTTTTGACTTTTTAAAAATTCTAAACGTGGAACCCCCCAGATTTTTTCACCTTCTTCAAATTCTACACGTGGAATCCCCGACATTCTTTCACCTTCTTAAATATCATACATATGGAACCCCCGAGATTCTTTTAACTTCTTCAAAATCATACACATGGGGTCCCTGAGATTCTTTCACCTTTATAAAAATCATACACATGGAACCCCGAGATTATTTTAACTTCTTAAAAAAATCGTGCACGTGGAACCCCTGAGATTTTTTTACCATTTTAAAAATCATACACATGGAACCCCCGAGATTCTTTCACATTTATAAAAGTCCGACACGTGGAAACTTCGAGATTCTTTTGACTTTTTAAAAATTCTAAACGTGGAACCCCCCAGATTTTTTCACCTTCTTCAAATTCTACACGTGGAATCCCCGACATTCTTTCACCTTCTTAAATATCATACATATGGAACCCCCGAGATTCTTTTAAACTTCTTCAAATTCTGCACGTGGAACCCCCGAGATTCTTTTAACTTCTTCAAAATCATACACATGGGGCCCCCGAGATTCTTTCACCTTTATAAAAATCATACACATGGAACCCCCGAGATTCTGTTAACTTCTTCAAAATCATACACATGGGGCCGCCGAGATTCTTTCACCTTTATAAAAATCATACACATGGAACCCCGAGATTCTTTTAGCTTTTTCAAATTCTACACGTGGAACCACCGAGATTCTTTTAACTTCTTAAAAATCGTGCACGTGGAACCCTTGAGATTTTTTTACCATTTTAAAAATCACACACATGGAACCCCAGAGATTCTTTCACATTTTTAAAAGTCCGACACGTGGAAACCTCGAGATTCTCTTGACTTTTTAAAAATTCTAAACGTGGAAACCCCGAGATTTTTTCACTTTCTTAAAAATCATACACAAAGAATCTCTGAGATTCTTTTACCTTCTTCAAATTCTACACGTGGAATCCCCGACATTCTTTCACCTTCTTAAATATCATACACATGGAACCCCCGAGATTCTCTTAAACTTGTTCAAATTCTGCACGTGGAACCTCCGAGATTCTTTCATCCTTTTAAAAATCATACACATGGAACCCTCGAGATTCTTTTAACTTCTTCAAAATCATACACATGGGGCCGCCGAGATTCTTTCACCTTTATAAAAATCATACACATGGAACCCCGAGATTCTTTTAACTTCTTCAAAATCATACACATGGGGCCGCCGAGATTCTTTCACCTTTATAAAAATCATACACATGGAACCCCGAGATTCTTTTAACTTCTTCAAATTCTACTCGTGGAACCCCCGAGATTCTTTTAACTTGTTAAAAATCGTGCACGTGGAACCCCTGAGATTTTTTTACCATTTTAAAAATCATACACATGGAACCCCCGAGGTTCTTTCACATTTTTAAAAGTCCGACAAGTGGAAACCTCGAGATTCTTTTGACTTTTTAAAAATTCTAAACGTGGAACCCCCGAGATTCTTTCACCTTCTTAAAAATCATACACAAGGAATCCCTGAGATTCTTTTACCTTCTTCAAATTCTACACGTGGAATCCCCAACATTCTTTCACCTTCTTAAATATCATACTCATGGAACCCCCGAGATTCTCTTAAACTTCTTCAAATTGTGCACGTGGAACTCCCGAGATTCTTTCATCCTTTTAAAAACCATACACATGGAACCACCGAGATTCTTTTAACTTCTTCAAAATCATGCACATGGAACCCCGAGATTCTTTTAACTTCTTCAAATTCTACACGTGGAACCCCCGAGATTCTTTTAACTTGTTAAAAATCGTGCACGTGGAACCCCTGAGATTTTTTTACCATTTTAAAAATCATACACATGGAACCCCCGAGGTTCTTTCACATTTTTAAAAGTCCGACACGTGGAAACCTCGAGATTCTTTTGACTTTTTAAAAATTCTAAACGTGGAACCCCCGAGATTCTTTCACCTTCTTAAAAATCATACACAAGGAATCCCTGAGATTCTTTTACCTTCTTCAAATTCTACACGTGGAATCCCCAACATTCTTTCACCTTCTTAAATATCATACACATGGAACCCCCGAGATTCTCTTAAACTTCTTCAAATTGTGCACGTGGAACTCCCGAGATTCTTTCATCCTTTTAAAAACCATACACATGGAACCCCCGAGATTCTTTTGACTTTTTAAAAATTCTAAACGTGGAACCCCCGAGATTCTTTTAAACTTTTTCAAATTGTGCACGTGGAACCCCCGAGATTCTTTTAACTTGTTAAAAATCGTGCACGTGGAACCACTGAGATTTTTTTACCATTTTAAAAATCATACACATGGAACCCCCGAGATTCTTTCACATTTTTAAAAGTCCGACACGTGGAAACCTCGAGATTCTCTTGATTTTTTAAAAATTCTAAACGTGGAACCCCCGAGATTCTTACACCTTAAAAATCATACTCAAGGAATCCCTGAGATTCTTTTACCTTCTTCAAATTCTACACGTTGAATCCCCGACATTCTTTCACCTCCTTAAATATCATACACATGGAACCCCCGAGATTCTCTTAAACTTCTTCAAATTCTGCACGTGGAACCCCCGAGATTCTTTTAACTTCTTAAAAATCCTGCACGTGGAACCCCCGAGATTCTTTCATCCTTTTAAAAATCATACACATGGAACCCCCGAGATTCTTTTAACTTCTTCAAAATCATACACATGGGGCCCCCGAGATTCTTTCACCTTTATAAAAATCATACACATGGAACCCCGAGATTTTTTTAACTTCTTCAGACTCTACACGTGGAACCCCGGAGATTCTTTCACATTTTTAAAAGTCCGACACGTGGAAACCTCGAGATTCTTTTGACTTTTTAAAAATTCTAAACGTGGAACTCCCGACATTCTTTCACCTTCTTAAAAAGGAATCCCCGACATTCTTTCACCTTCTTAAAAATCATACATATGGAACCCTCGAGATCCTTTCACATTCTTAAAAATCTGACACGTGGAAAATTCTAGATTCTTTTAAATTTTTAAAAATTCTGTACAAGTGGAATCCCCGAGATTCTTTCACCTTCTTAAATATCATACACATGGAACCCCCGAGATTCTTTTAACTTCTTAAAAATCCTGCCCGTGGAACCCCCGAGATTCTTTCATCCTTTTAAAAATCATACATATACGTGGAACCCCCGAGATTCTTTCATCCTTTTAAAAATCACACACATGGAACCCCCGAGATTTTTTCACATTTTGGA